ATAGGCTGCTGCTGCTGATGGAATAAGCCTGAAGAGGGTTTGTGTTTCTCGGACTGATCCACCTCTGCCGGGCACTGGGGTGGGGGTCTTCTCTCTGCCTTGGCTGTGATGGGCTTAGCTGTGCGCATTAGGGTTCTCTTGCTGGATTTCTGCTTTTCTCCCTCCATTTGTTGGTTGATCTCTCCCTCTCATGCATTCTTCATGCCGTCTCTTTTCTGGGGCCTTTAAAAGGCAGAGATCTGCATGGAGATGGGGCTGGTCCAGGAAAGGTCTGTGCTCGGCGTCAGGAGTGGAGTCCAAGAGACCATTGACCTCCTGGAGTATAGGGGAGAGTGACATCTGGCCTGGAGATGGTGCGGCATGACCAGCTGGCTCATGCGTTATGAAAGGCTCACGTTGACCTTGGACAGTGTTGCCTAAAGGGCTGGGATGCTGTGTTCACGGGGCTTGTTCTGTCATGGTGGGAGTTGGAGTGTGTCGTGGGCCGAAGGAAGTTGACACCTCTTGATCTCAGATGCTGGCAGAAGGACCCACTACCGTTGAGTTGACTCTATCCTGCATTGAGAGGTGACAGGAAACTTGAGCCATCAAAGGCCTCCTGGAGCCTTGGACGTGGCCAGCTCCTAAACGCCCCCATTTATCACCTCTGCTTGCCAAGGTTGACTTGACACTGAGAATGGAGAAATGGACCGACAGACGGCCTAGCCGCTTCGTTTCCCTTTCCTTCGCCTTCCCCTTGCTCTCTGCTGGCCCACGCTCACACCCTCCCCTCCCTTTGCCCTGAGCCTCCTCTCCGAGGCCCTGGCACCAGCCATTGGCCTGCTGTGAAGGAAGTAGGCTGCAGCCACAGGGGACCTGGGGGAGCTGTCCCTGTAAGTCACCCTGGTACCTGCAGAAGGGGCTTCATGCACATTGCCTGGTGTCTGGTGTGCCTCCTCCTGTGTCCTCAGTGTGGCGTGGAGGAGCGCAGTGGCGTCTGGAGGCCAGGGTTTGCCTGGAGGCTGGCAGGCTGCCTCCGACTCCTGGTGCTGATAGGGAGGGAGGAGCTGTCCCCTCCAGAGGTGCTCCCATGGCCCTGCACAGGACCCAGACATGCTCCAGCACAGGATAAACAGGTATCTTTTTTTCCTTCCATGCAAGACACCAGGACAAACTGCTTTCTGTTTGTACTTGCCAGCAGCAGGCGCAGAGCTGGGGCTCAGACCTGCATAAAGAAGGGAGACGAGGGCGGTGCCTCCTGACTACCCCAGGTGCATGCTCTTTCCAGGTTCTCTCAGGTGCTGTCTTATTGACGATCCCATCCCTGTGAGCGAGACACGCAGGTGCAGCTCTCCCTGCTTGTTAACTGGGGACATTGAGCGTCAGAGATGGGCTACTCAGCCCAAGGTCACACAGCCAAAGGAGGGGGCCAGTCAAGGCCACATCAGATGCTCCTCCTTCTCTTAGCAGCTGGGTCGGCCCCTCTGAGCTCACTGGGAGCCCCTGGCTGGCCCACTTGGGCTTTGCGCTCCTGGCCTCGTGTTCCTTGGCTGGCTTCCTTCACTCCCTCCTCTCCTCCTGATGCCTGGCCTCTCCAAGGCCACTCAGGGAGACATTCTGGTTCCCCAGAGGGCCTTTGCCATGGTCCACCCATTCATGCTTCAGCTCCTTCTCCAGTCTGTGGAGCCAGTGACATTTTGAGAGGCCCCATGGATGTCAAGGCCAGCCATGAGCCCCAGGGTTCCCAGTGTCAGTGGATTGCACAGCTGACCTTGTCAGAGAGCACAAGGGCCCCCCACCCCCTGCACACTGCTAGGGGTTGGAGCTGTCTGGGAAGTCGAGCTGGAGCCCTGAGGTCTTCTATGGCTGCCATTGTCCTCAGGAAGGAGGCTGACAGTGACTTCCCACCCCAGCCTTGGACCCCAGCCTGTAGGCACGGTGCCCTGGCCCCATTGCTGGAATCTCCCTCCTGACTTGTGTTGACATGTGTGCTGTCCCTGTCTTTAGTCTGCCAGTCACATGGCAGGTGTCTGTACATATTTGGAGCAAGGATAAATGGTTGCCTACCACCCCGGGGTGGTAGGGACCCTGGAGGGTATGGATGAGGAAAGCTGTAGCGTCTGCCACTCTGGGAATGTGTGCTCCAGTTGCAGAGACCAAGCAAGGCCATACCATTAAGTCCCTGTGCCATTAAGTTGCCTGAATGTTGTGATTAGAATGCAGAAATGGGAGAAAGTCTCTTGGCTTCCTGGGGAGGGACAGGAGGTGACCTTGGGGAGATGGTAGGTGTATGGTCTGATGGCATTGGAATGGAATCTTGTCTTTTAACTAAGAGATGGTGCTTGGGTACCTCTTTGGCATGAGGAAGATGGTAACTAGAGACTTTGCTTGGGGCATAGCAGTCTCCTTGGTCCACACCCTGTGGGCTTTCTCTTGCTCATGTGCAGCCCTGTGATGCAGCCTGATCCTGACTCCTTGGCTTCTTTGGATTTGGCCAAAGCAAGCAGAGGTAAGAATCTTTGGAAGTGCTGCATTGTTTCCTGGAGGTTGTAACCAAGTAGCAGAATCTGAGTGGCTTAAAACAGCAATGTATTCTCAGGGTTCTGAAGGCCAGAGTCCAAAGTAGTCAAGTAGTCAGTGAGCTGTGTTCTTTCTGAATGCTCAGACAAAGAACCTGCTCCATGCTTAGCCCAAAGAATCTGCTCTCTCTCAGCTTCTGGTGTTGCCAGCCGTCCTTGGCTCATAGGTGCGTCACTCTGGTCTCCCCTCTGTTGTACGGTCTCCGGCACGTCTGTGTCTCTGCTCTTCTTATACATATTTAGGACCTGCTCTAATCCACCATGACCTCTTCTGAACTTGATTACATTTGCACAGACCCTATTTCTGAACAGTTGCATTCAGCTACTGGAGATGAGGACTTCAACATGTTCAACTCCAAACCGACTTGTTTTGGTTTGGTTTGTCTCCAAATCCCATCTACAAGTTAGAGCTTCTGACCCCTCCACCAACCTCTCAGGTCTCTGGAGGTGCAGGGTGTGTGCAGAGGCCCCACCTCCCATCTTTCTCCACTGCCCCCTCTCTGAATTGCTGGCTTGCAGAGTGGGACAGATGCTATCTTGACATGTAAGGCCAAGCCTCATCTTGCAGAGGGTAAGGGCGTGGTTGGGAATGCTGCTTTCCCTGTTTTGGGGGTGGTGGTGAGGAAATAGAGGTGCACTGGTGGATAAGAGGTCTTCCTCTGGAAGACGATGTTACTTTTACAGAGACGCAGAGTGCAGGCTCCGGAAGGACTCCTAAGGACTCACCCATCCTGCACTGGGACCCACCAGAAAGGGCAGCCACTTGCTGTCAGAGTTCTGGGTTTGAGTCCTGGCTCCGCCACTCAGTAATTCTGCAGTCTTGGGCTTATTTAGCTTCTCTGAGGCTCCGCTTTCTCATTTGTCAAATGGAATAATAATAACTGCTTGTCATACCTCATGGAGTTTCTTTGAGGATTAAATAGGAAAGGACTGATATGAATGTACCTTTTTAAAAATCATGACCTTCTACCAGCTTCAGGGGCCTGATCTCTCCAGAGGGCTTCTTACCTCTCAAAAACATCTTTCGGGCCCCTCCAGGCAGACTGGAATTTGTGTGGAAGCAGGGCGCTCTCAGCCACCTTCCTCTGATACTCCTGGGCCTGCGTGGCAGGGGTCCTCACGGAGGGCAGGCGCCCTCCTTGGAAGGCTTCTCTCCCCCCTCAGGCTGGCTCTGCCTCTCTTGCCTCCTCCTCCCTCCTCCTGTCCTTTTCTCCATGGGACAAAGTTCCAGTGGAGAACCAGGGCAGCTAAATCTGGGGTGAACCGGGGGATGCCTATGCCAGGGCCTTTGTAGTGTGCCAAAGCATGGCCAAGGAGCAAGGTGACATGCGTTTTAGCCTTTTCTGTAGCTGGCTATTGGAGTCCCCAGGGAATCCTGGCTGGGCACCTGGTTCCTGAGGTCCTGTTCTGAGCTCATCAGGGGGAAAATGCCACTGAACAAGGCCTCATCACTGCCTCTAAGGACTGCTGTGAGACGTGGATGAGTGATGTCTGAGACTACCTGGCCAGGAGCACCCACCTGCCATGGTGGGCAGGGAAATGTGCTCCCTAGCCCAGGCTGATGGTAACCTGTGGCCACTGATGGTAACCACTGGAGCAGAAGGAAGACGTAGCGGGGGTTGCTGTGTGTGTTAGATGTGGGTCCTCTGTTCTGTGCCTCCCCCGAATGCTACCTTTGGGGCTGGGGCTGGGGCTGGGGCTGGGGCTGGACCTGATGAGACAGTGCCCACCTTTACGCAGCTCAGGTCTGAGTGTGGAGCACAGGGCTGTGCTTCAGCAGTGATGAAGAAGCATCAGAGACGAATGGGTGATGACGTGTTATGTCCTCAGGGGAAGAAAAGGCTGCTTCTGCTGGTGGGCCTGGGGTGGCACTGAGGGTGACAGTGGGTGGGGGTAGTTGTGACATGTTGCAGAGAAGCCCAGGCAGGAATGTTCTGCCCTAAGACGTCTTTCCCCTTGGTGGGGGCTGGCCCTTTGAGCTTCAGTCAGGTCCTATGAGTGGCTGGGACAGGGGTTATTGGGCCCATTTTGCAGGTGGAAAGATTGACGTGTTGAAGATCGTTCAGGTGTGTGGTTGAACAGAAGGCGGGGCCCAAGTCTCTGGCCCTGGCCTGGGCCATCTCTGTGTACCCAGCCTGTGTCCTTTCTGCATTCTTCTGGTGGACGGAGTTATTGAGAGCGCTGCTACCCGTGGTTCTGAGCTGGCCACTCTGTCACTGGCCTTTCCTTAAGCTGTATTACGTGCCCTGCTCTCTAGGAAATCTGTCCCCAAGTTGCCCCCAGCTTGAGGCCCCAGTCTTGGTTCCCTGCTCTTCCCCCCTCCCTCCTCCTGACTTCTGGCCCTGGGGAGCTACAGGGAGGAGCTGCTGTGACGTGCTGGCCAGAGGAGGCCAGAACGCCAGACTAAACCGTTTTCTCCGTTGGGTCTTCTCCTGACACCAGGTCTCGGCTGGCGGACTTCCACACCAACTGTCGAGCCTCCTACCGGACACTTACCAGCTGCCCTGCCGACAATTACCAGGCGTGTCTGGGATCCTACGCTGGCATGATTGGTAAGTTTTCTTGCATTTCTTGGGCTCATGGTGGCTCCTTGCTGCCCCAGCCTTGTGGGGCAGGGGCTATTACCCAGGTCATGGCTTCTCTGGGACAGATTCAGATAGAACTTTGAGGGGAGCCAGAGGGGAGCCAGCTCTTTATGGAGGAGAGCCCTGGTTCTTTATTATGGGGTGGAGGGCCCCAGGCACCTATATGGCTTTGGAAGCAAGTGTTGAGAGCCACAGCCGAAGAAAAGGTTCTGACATTCTAAGTACTGTCTTCTTGGGTCTCTCTACAGCTCTTACTAGGGAGGCGTTGGCATCCCCATTCTACAGATGAGGAAACTGAGGTTAAAAGTTGGGTGACCGGCGTAGGCTCACCCGGCTGGCAAACGTCGTCACCGGGAACCAACCCAGGAAGTGGGTCTTTGTTTTTCTGGTTCTAGAAAAGAGGCTCTGCTCATTGGTGAGGGAGAAAACAAGGGACCCAGTCTTGGACAGAGCTGCTTGGCTCTTCCCTGCTGTTCTGGTGATTGGGAGCTTGGTGTCCTCTGTGCCTCTGGACCCTGCTAACCCTATGGTCACAGAGTTGGAACTTCAAGGTGGGGTGTATGTGCCCTGCCATACCTGGGGCCTGGGGGCCCAAGGGAAGGCCTGACTGCTCATCTCCCCTTCCCTCCTTTCTCCCTGCCCAGGGTTTGACATGACCCCCAACTACGTGGACTCCAGCCCCACGGGCATTGTGGTGTCCCCCTGGTGTAGCTGTCGAGGCAGCGGGAACATGGAGGAGGAGTGTGAGAAGTTCCTCAGGGACTTCACCGAGAACCCGTGCCTCCGTGAGTCTGGCGTGTCCTTCCCTCCCCCACACCTCTGGCTCTTCACCTGCCCCTTTGTCCCCGGGACCAGGAACCTGCCTGGGCCTCTGGTATCTCCTCCCTGTGGGGTGGCCAGCGACACACATGGGGCTTCTCTGCCATAGTGCGGCCTGCAGAGACCCCGAGCTCTTGACAACCAGAGCTGCCAGTGGGTCAGCCTCAGTTTTCCACCAGTGACCTTGAACCTGTGTCGGGTCAAAGCTGAAGGTTTCTGTTTTGTTATCCTGACTGCTTCAGGCAGGTTGCTCTGGGACAGACCCCTGTCATCTGGGGCCTCTGTCATTGCCTCCTTTAATGAGTTTTTCCCCATTGGAACTGTGACTTTGAGTCACCTAACTCCTAATCCAGAGGCCACAGAGAGGAGAGCCACCGTCAAGCTCAGTCTACCTTTGATCTTTGCACAGTGACACCTGTTGCTGACCACCACCTGCAGTCTCCTCCCTCTTTCCTTTCTTCCTTCCATGTGTCTGTCCGTCCATCTGTTCTCTTCCTTTCTGTATGGCACCGGAAATTCAGAAGTAGAGATCCCAGTGCCTGTCATTCAGGAGCGTGCAGCCAGATGGAGGTGAACTGAGAGGCCAAGGTGCAGGGTGAACGGTCCTAGGGTAGAGTTTTGAACAGGGTGTTGCAGGAGCCTGGGGTGGGGACATGTGTCATCCAGGAGGAGGGAGGCCCTGAGGGTTCTCAGAGGCTGTCTCCTTTGGTGGATAGTCAGTTGAGGATCAGAAGGCACCTGCTGTCCACCCTGGCAGGCGCCCCAGGCTCCCCAGAAGACCCCAGTTTGTTAGGGAGCTGCACAGCCTGGCCTGCCTGAAGCATTGGAGGTGACCACAGTAGGTTATGTGGCAGGTGAGAGCATCCTCCTCATGGAGGGTCCTGCAGACTTGAAGACTTGGGGTTTCTGAGCCTGCAGGTGGCATGGTGGTGGTGGGTGGTTGAAGGAGGTAGAGAGAGGATCTACTTGGTTGTGATGTGGAGGTCATGGGGGGTGGGGACATGATTCTGGTGGGTGAGGCAGTACAGACAGGACAGTGACGGCTGAACCAGAGCAGTGGGAGGGGGACAGTGACGAGAGATGGAGTGGAGAGGTCTTTGGGGGTCGGCTCAGCTGGCTGCCAGTGGGCGGGTAGGGAGGCACCACGGGGTCTCTGCCTGGGTTTCTATCTTGGGGGACTCGGGGACATAGAGGTGACACCTTCATGACTGGTGACATGAGGGGGGCGAGGAGTGTTGGCAGTGGTAGGAAGAGATGCCTGGTGTGGGCTTAGACATGAGGCCTTGGAGGTGCGTTTGGGGCAGGGGGGTACCATTTTCCTGGGCGCTTGGCTATGGGCTTGAGTCTTGGGGACGGAGTCCTGCCTAGGAGCTCTGATGGGTCGGTCCCCAGGGAATTAGAGCTGGTTAGCAGTGTGGGTGGGAGGCCGCCCGTGGGAGTGTCAGGTGTGGAGAGGGAAGAGGGCTGATCTGGGCCCTTGGAATGCCCGAAGCAGGGCCTGGAGCATCTCAGGTGGCAGTGGAGCCCCGGAGCCTGTGTCTAGGGATCTGCGGTGGGGCCACCTTGGCACGGCTCTCCTCCTGGCTCCCACATGCCCGCTTCCTCCTCCTCCTCTGCTCTGAGCCGTCCTCGCCATCGCACGCGTTTCCTTCCATTCTGGCTTCTCTGTCTGCCTCCGGCTGTTTTCTTCTCTCAGTGTGACTTCGTAGATCTGAAAGAACCTGAGCTGAGTTGAATCCCTCTGTTACCCTTCGTCCCCAGCTTTGGGCTCTTCCAGGGAGGGTAGTGGTCAGGGTGGGGCGAAGCGATGGAAGTGATCCTGATTTCTATGCACCTACCTGACCCCCACCCCTCAGGGAACGCCATTCAGGCCTTCGGCAACGGCACAGATGTGAACGTGTCCCCCAAGAGTCCCTTACTCCCGGCCACCCAGGCCCCAAGGGTGGAGAAGACTCCTTCTTTGCCAGATGATCTCAGTGATAGCACCAGCCTGGGGACCAGCGTCATCACCACCTGCACATCTGTCCAGGTGAGGGCGTGGCTCTGCCACTCAGGGACTCAGGAGGGGGCAGGGGGAGCAGCATGGTGTCACCACAGTGTGGGAAACCACTCATCCGGGACCAGTGAGGGAACACTGAAGGTCCTTCCTTTAGGTCAGGGACCCAAGAGGCAGGGAGGAGCTGGGAGGTGGTTTTCACCTGTTCATTCCTAGGCCTTCATCTAGCAAATGCGGGACACCTGCTCATCACAGTGTCACACTAGACACCGTGAGGCACAAGAGAAATGAGGCACAGTTACCATTTATCAGCCTTCTGCTAATCACCAGGTCATGTGCTGGGGGAGTCTCTGCTTTTCTTATTGAATTCTCACACAGTCAGGTATCGGCGTTCTTGTTTCACATGTGGGAAACTGACTAGAGGGGTTCCAAGATCACTTAGCTGAATGGTGTGGAGGATGGCCAAACCCACGTCTGACTCCAAAGCTCATGTGTTCACTTGTCCATCCATCCGTCCGTCCATCCATCCATCCATCCACCCAGTCATGTATCCTCTTACCTGTGTGGTTACTTGCTAGGGATACACTGATGAATGAGGTGACAGTCTTATTTTTTGGTCCCATGGCCTTATTGAGGATCAAACAATGAAACAATCATCAGATGTAGACTGCAGGCAGTGTCACAACAAGGGACACATGGCACTGTGGAGGTGCCATCACTCAGCATCTCTGCTGAGCTACCCTCGTACCACTGCACCTTTCACTCCAGGAGGCTCTTTGCTGAAGGGGTCGGTTCTAGACAGGACAGAAACACACACACACACACACACACACACACACACACACAGAACAAAGGATTTAGAAGAGAACCTAGTGCAAAATACTAGGGCGGGCAGAGGAGGGAGGGAATGGTGAGGGTGTGGCTGGTGGGAACAAGGGATGTTTCAGGCAGGAGTTGGCTCTGGTTGGTTAAGAGGTTGGTGGGGAACACTGGCAGCAGCACAGCCCAAATGAAGGTGCAGGAGGAGCGAGACTTGGTGGGAAGGGTGAGGACACCATCTGAATGGGGTCGCAGTCTCCTGGGATCAACAGCACCTGGCATTCACAGTGCTGGGATGAGGACTTGAGCTGGCCCCTCCTGGATACCCACCCACCACACCAGGACATGTGTGCTGGTGCCCATCCTGGTCAGAGGCCCAGAAAAGACCACCTCAGACTTTGCCAGCCCTCTCCAACTTCCAGGGAACCCCATATGGATAAAACCACCAGAGAGAAGGCCACAGCCAGAGGGAGAAGTTCTGAGAACAGGACCCAAGGTTGTGTCAAAACTGGACAGAGTGTCAGGGCCTCACCACCCCAGGCTCCTCCACAGTGTCCCTGACACCCACATCTCTGCCCGGCAGCCCTACAACAGGAACGAAAACTCCTCGTTCCCACATCCACTCTGCCATGGGAAAACCCTTGTGGGGAGCAGATCTGAGAGGGAGTCAGCACAAGGTTGCCAGGGGCTCTGTTCCTGGCCCTGCTCAGCCACCAACAGGTTGCAGGGCCCTGGACAAGTTCTCACCCACTCCAGGCCTCTCGTCCCATAGGTTTGGGAAGGAGATCTTGGAACATACTTCCCATCCAGACACCTGTGTGCATTCCCAGTAGGCTGCCATCTCCGGAAGCTAAGGCTTCCCCAAGGAAAGAGGAGAGCGAGGAGGGCAGAAATAAGGAAAACTCTCTTCTCTCTAGGATGTATGTAGAGCACACAGCCTCCTCCCCACCAGGCCGCAGCTTCCTGCCCACATTCAGGGACCCCTGTATAGTTATGGGTTCCCATGACTCCCAAGGGCCCCAGCAAGGCCACCACAGAGCCATTCAATCAGAGGTGATCCAAGCTAGCAAAGCTGATGGACAGGACCGAGGTGCAGGCTGGGTGCAGCCATACCAGCCTCCCGCTGAGCCAGGGACAGGGTTGAGGGCTGAGTCACATTGCAACCCCAGCCTGGCATGGTCATAAAAGAGACCGTAGTGAGACAGAATCAGTGGCCTTTCCCCTTCTGTTTCTGAGAAGGAACCTAAGAAGTGATGGTGGGTGGGGCCTCTTTTGAGGATCTGCTTCTCTCATTTTCCTTCTGAGATGGCTGTCCCCAGCTGTCCTGCCCAGAGTAACTTAGCCAACAGGCCCAAGGAGGACAGTTCCTGGAGCCAGGCCTGCAGGAGCCACCTGCCAGGCAGCATCCCCGGCTGCCCGGTTGACAGCAGCTAACATTTGGGCATCATTGCTTCGTGCAAAGCACTTCCACATACAGCATCTCTGTTCCCCATGTGAATGGTCCAGCATCACCCCTGGATCCAAACCAAGATCAAGACAAGCCCTCAGATCATAGCCTGCAGAAAACCAGAAGGTAGAAGCAACCAATCAGTGCCTGTGTAGCCAACTGCTAAGGGAAGGCAGGGGGTGGAAGGGGATTCAGAGTAATCGGGCACCGAAGGGTGGGGGCACGGTGCCATGGCTTCATGTCTGTGTCCACGAAGAATCACAATGAGAGTGAGGGCAAGGTCGGCTGTGTCAGCATCTTCCTAGAGGATGCCCTACTAGGCCCTGGTAAGGCCCAGAGGAACAGAAGGAACACACCAGAGCACGGTCACGTGACAGGCGGCACAGCCCTGACCAGCCAAACTGCCCATGGCTGTAATATAAAGTTGAGCCTCTGACCCTGCCATGCCTGTACCATGTGTGTGTAATGTCCTTGCCTTGCCCTTCACCCCACTGGTTTGTGGAGCAGGGCACCTGGCAGGCAGGCCAGTCTCGGACACTCATCCAAGGCCTTTGTTTCTGAAGCCTTGGACACTTCCCAAGGAATAGTCCCAGAGATGAGTGAGCAAGACGCTGACCCTGGGCACCTTCTAGCTCCTCTGAGTGACACACTCCTTCCCCTCTCCACCCCTTTGCCTGGTGAGTCCTGGTCACATGTTCCCTCTCGGGGTAGTCATCCCCGATTCTGTCCATGCAAAGTTGCCCTCTACCTTACTTTGGACTCCAGCTTTGCCTCACCAGAAGATGTGTTTCCCTCTCTCCTGTTGCACCAGTGTCCCTGGAGGCCTTGATGGCCTTGCCATCCCCTTTTGTGCCACCTTGAACAAGGAGTGCACAGGATATGGTGCGGAGAAGGGGCTCCACACAGTCTGGAGGAGTCCGTAGTGCATTTGGTTTGCTGGGCTTGCTGCTGTCTCTGGCGGAGGGTCTGGGGCTTTGTGCTTCATGCTGAGCTCCACCCACTCGGTGCCTCCAGGTGCCTTCAGGTGGAGGGGTGGGGGAGCAAGATGGTTTGCAGTCCAGGGTGTAAGAAGATTGGTCACGAGGCTGTTCGGCCTTGGGGACCAGAGCAGTGTGGTGGGGCCTGGGGAAGGCTGGTGGTGGGTTGGGGCTCTGCCCGGCTGTGGCCCATTCCACCATCCCTGACATTCCCCTGGGTTGCTTTGGGCCCAGAATGATGGTCCCATCAGATCCGCTGGACTCTCCCCTTTCCAAGGGCTGAGGAGGGCTAGCGACATGAGTCCTCTTTGCTCTGCCGGTCTCTGCCAGCCACTCTCCACTCTTTCCCTTGACACTGCCAGTCATCTTGGGACAATAGAAGCGAGTTTGAGGGGTTGCCCTAGGGGTTGCCTCACTCTGAAGCAGACTTAGCAGCCAGAAGCCAGTTCTCTCCTCCACCCTCTGCTGCCTGCAAAGGCCTCTTACCCAGGACACAGACCTGTGGATGCCAGAGCAGGGGACCGAGTGGCCGTTAGTGCGTGCATTCTAACTGCGTGTCACTCTATCCTGGGCACTGAGGCCAATAAGCTCAATCAGCCAGTTCCATCCTTGTGCCAGGAGGATGCCAGGAGGCCCCGCTCAAGTGATGGTGAGGGTGAAGGCGATTGGCACCAAGAAAATGAATAAAGTGGGGCTCGGGGAGGATGGGGTGGCTTCAGCGGGGAGCAGACATCAAGGGCTGATGGGCAACGGAACCTGCTGCCAGACCTGGGAGAATCGCCTTGACTATGTGTAGGTGGAGCTGGGGTTGGAGTGGGCGAGGGTGTCCCAGGAGGAGGGCCAGCAGGAGCCCGTGCCTGGAGGCAGACGGCAGAGCCCTCTGTGGAAGAGTCACCTAGAGCAGGTGGGGGTTGGCTGGCCAGGGAGAGCCACTGGAGGGTCAGGGTCCCGATTTCAAAAATTGAAAAATATTTGATTTTTGGATTTGAGGGTGGGGACGGGCAGTGGAAGTGGAGGGGGCGGAAGAGGGGACAGTCACTGGGGTTGGGCATGTACAGGAGGGATGGGCTAGGGACAGGCTCACAGGGTATAGATGAGGGCAGAGGCCAAGGTTTGTGGGTGGGGTCAGGGACAGAAGCAGGGGACTCAGGAGAGATCTGGCCAGTGCTGTCACCACTGTCCAGCACTGCTGGACTTAGTAGCACCTGTGCCAGGCCAGTGAGATTCTGGGACTGCCACACCAGGCTTTGGGGGCAGCGTGGGGAAAGAGGTGGGCAGGGCAGAGGAGGAAGACTGCTTCTTTCCAACTTCCTGGCTCAGGACCTTTCTGGGAGAAGCTTCTAGAAGGGTGAAGCTTGCCTTGTGCCATCCTGGTTCATGGTCGTGCCCCTTCCCTAGTGCTAACTGCTCCTGTCACTTCTTTCATGCTTCTGAGGCCCCACAGTGCAGCCCACTGGGGCCATCTCTTCCCACACTGTCCCTCTACGGGCCTCCGTGTCACAGGATTGCTGTTAGAATCCCTGTGTGCTGCCATCCCAGCAGCCTGGGCCTGTTGCCTTTGGAACTCCGTCATTCACACACCCTGAGTCTGTCTCAAGGGTATGAGTGGCTCAGCACAGGGTCAGGGACTAGAGTTACCCACGCACAGCGGCACAGGGAGAGCTGGGCACTGGGGTGGGCTTGACAAGGGGCCATGGCCCCAGAAGACTGCCCCCAGCCTGGGGGCTTGGGGAAGGATGGCAGCCTTCTCTCTCCTTCCTGGGTATTTAATTGGCCTGGAGGTGACTACAGGGAGGTTTATTTCTCTGTTTGGTGTGAACCCCTCAAGGGCAGGGCTGAGACCTGCTGGTGAGAAGGGCATCCCCAACTGGTGAGGGAGGGAGGGAGGCAGAGGTCTGAGCGTCTGGTGTTGGGGCATTAAACGGCAGACTTTCTTTCTGCACCTCCCCACCCACGTTCCATTTCCAGAAAAGCCAGTTGCTGGTTGGACGCCCCTGCTGTTCCGTCTAGGAGTGGCCGGGGTCTCTGGTTGGCTGTGGGGGAGGTTAACACAGCCCTCATGTCTGCTCTGTTTCCTGGAGTCAGGTGGGGTGGGGACTCCTAAGGCCCTTTGCTTCCCCCACTGTCACCTGCTGCAAAGAGGCTGGAGGAAGCGGGGGTTGGGTGGGGGGAGAAGGCAGGAGGCTGCTCTGCCACCGCTCCTCACTGGCAGGCCCCAGGCTGCTGGCTTGCCTGGGTCTCACCTTATCCCCTGTCCCCTTATTGCGTTGCCCCTGGGCCCTGCCTTGGGGTGAAAGCTGTGCTTGGTTCACTTTTTGCTTTGTGGAGTGAACAGTGAGCCTTGGTTTTGTGGGGAGCCTTGTTGTCCTATATGCCCTTTCTCTGGTTTAGTGAGCCACGCGTGCCTCCTGTCTTGTCTGGCTGAGGAAACTGAGGCACAATAGACTTCCCCGGGCGACTGGCAGAACCGGGACTTGGGTGCAGGGCTCTGGCCTCTGGAGCTTTTGCTTCTTATTCTGTTTCCGGGCTGCCTTGGATAAAGGGTTGATCTGTGGGTCCGAGGACTAGGACCCTGCACTGAGGAAATTCTATAAACTAGAGGTCACAGTACTTGGCGAAGCTGTTCAGGGCAGTGAGGGGAAGGCTGCTGGGTATCCTGAGCTTCCTGGGTGTGGTGGTCAGCCCTGGGGGCCTACAGAACTGGACATCCATAGGTTCAGAAGGGCTCTTGCTCCCATTTTTCCTGTGTGGTATTTGTCGATCCCCACTCCCCTCTCCTGTCATTGGGGGACACCTGACGGGGCCTGCTCATTCTGGGGAGCAAGATCCAAGCCTAGGCCGGTGCTCCAGAAGGCGTTACCATTCAGATTTTGTCTCACACACCTGGTTGGGCTTGGGGCTCAGAGGCTTTTCTGGCTTCTCTGTGCAGGTTGACCTTGGCATAGAAACCTGCTGAACTGACATGGTCTCGGTCCACCTTTGACCTTGGGCCTGCCTCAGAGCTGATGTCCGTCATCACAGAATGTTGTACTGGCTTCACCTTAAAGGACATCGTAGGCAGTCGACCACCTGGGCATCTGGTCAGCTAAACAAGGCCCCAGCAATAGACTTAAAAAAATATTTTTGCATGTCACTATAGTACATAAGACAAGTAACAGCAGCTTTGATGAGGAGTGGGGCTGTCTGCCTCTGTGATTCCACATGGACCCGGGGACTGGGACACAGGGACAAGCCAGGGTCCCTCAAAGGGGACAGGACAGAACAGCCACCCCTGACACTTACAGAGGAAGCCATATTGGGTATAAGTAGCTGCTGGACCACCTGTATCACTGGTGGGGATGGATATAACCGACTGAGGATTGGTGCAGGGGTTGGGAGGACAGGTGGGACACATGGTAACAGCACAGACTCCAAGCTGGGGCAAGCGGTGTTCTGTCCCTGTAGTGGCCTCCCTGGAGTGGTATAATGCCCCAAGGAGGAGAATCTAGTGGTTGGTCTGGAAGGACCGAAGGGAATATGTCCCATGGAGGGAAGCAGTTGGTACCACCTCTTGGCACCTGGAGACACTTGGTACCTGGTCTTGAATAGGATCCTCTTGGGTTGGGTCTGGTTCCATTCCTGCTGTGCTAATCACCACATTTCTGTCTCCACCACTGGCAGTGACTGCTTTTGGCCAGGGTCTCTGGGTGACAGCTGGGGCCTTGTTTAGCTGACCAGATGCATGGGTGGTCGATTGCCTACGATGTCCAAAGAATTATGGATACTTTTGGCCAAGAGTCGTGATTTAGGCATAATTTCTTGGGCTTCCCAGTTGCTCCTGGCAGCCAGAGCTTCCCCACAAGTGCCTTGGGAACTAAGCCATCTGAAGGGCCATATCCCCCAGCTGGTTCCCATTGGTCTCTCTCATGATGGTGGTAACAAAGCACTGTTCTTCATGCACGCTCTGTGGTCCTGCTTCCAAGTAGTTATGCCAGGGCAGAGAATCCTGGGATGACCACGACGCCAACCTTCCCTTCTCATTCTTCATCTTGTCTACAGAGTTCCCAGGTGCTGCACATCTGTTTGGGAGTGAAAATGGCCTGGCACATTTGCCAGCTGTCCACCTAACATGTACCAGTGGCAGACATCACTAATCAATCACAGTTTTCTTTCTCTCCTGAGCCCAGATGCGGGCTCATGATCTTTGTCCATGGAGCCTTCCTGGAGTGATGGCAAATTACAGGAGCTGGCTCTCAGATGCCACCTCTGGTCTGATGCGTTCATTCATTTATTCATTTATGCATGCATGCGTCTACTAAAAACACTAATTGAGTTGTGAGCCAAATCACAGCTCAGTGCAAGGAAAGGAGACCTGGTCCCTGCCTTTGAGGAGCTCTGAGTAGGCAGACAGACATGCAGACAGCTAGTTTTTACAGAATGCTGCAAACTGGATAGCAAGGTTTAGAGCTCAGTTTCCCAGGAGTCTTGAAAAGCCAGGAGTTAATTGATGAGGACTTCAGGGGTGCAGGGGCTCAGTAGTGGTCTTTATTATGCCCCTACAGCTTAGCAGTGCTAACAGTGATGGCATTGTTATAGCAGGGCCTTATTGGAGTCGCTAGTCGAAGCCAGGCCAGAAAAAGCATGGTGCCTTCTCCTAACTAGTGCCTTCTCTCCCACAGGAGCAGGGACTGAAGGCCAATAACTCCAAAGAGTTAAGCATGTGCTTCACAGAGGTGAGTAGGGGCAGGAAGGGGGTGGGTAGGTGCAGGAGACTGGCCCCCAGGGGGCTGTTTTCTAGGTGAGCCTTGAACTTAGAACTCCAGAATCCAGTTGCTGGGCCAGCTGATCTTCTGGCCCCTCTTGGACTGAGTGGGCACTTCCTTTGCTGGGGTGGGTCTGGGGAGTGCAAAGGCTTTAGTCAGGACCTGCGGCCATCTCCTTGGGGGAAGAGCCTTCTAAGCAGAGACCCTCGCATACTTTCCTTTATCTTTAAAGACAAACATATTGAGCACCTGCTCAGCACTGGTCCTGTGATATTTATCAGATACAGAAATGAAAAAGGACATGGTCCCTTCCTTGAAGAACCCCCTCCCTGCCATAGGAGTGCATATGCCACCATGGTAGTTTAGGTGAGAAGATGGCGAAAGATTCTGCAGAAGGAGAGAGCGGCTCAGTCAGAGACGCACAGGGAAGGATCCGTGGAGGAGGAAGTTTCAGAAATGGGGAGAAAGGGGCTTCCCTTTCGTCTCCTCTCCAGAGGCAAGTCCTTGTGGACCTTGGAGCTTCTCCTTGGGGTCTTTATGCCATCTCCCTCCCTACAGGATGTACATCATCCTCCGCCCTGAAGCAGGGAGGTGCAGCCTGTTCTCTGGGGACTTCTGCTCACTTGCCCCGACCTGAGGGCTGGGAGCCCAGAGGGGACAGAGCATCACTTTGTTCCTGCCCTGCCCCTTGGAAGCCTGGCTCTGCCTTCAGAGTGCAAGGGAGGGTGTCTGGTGGCCAGAGAGGGCAGGGCTGGAGGAGGCTGGAGCCCAGGCCGCTGACGGGATTTTTGTTGTTTTCTCTGTCTTCCCTTCTGCCGTGGACTCAGCTCACGACCAACATCATCCCAGGGAGCAACAAGGTGATCAGACCTAACTCAGGCCCCTGCAGAGCCAGGCCGTCGGCTGCCTTGACCGCGCTCCTGCTCCTCTTGCTGAAGTGGGCCTTGTAGGCCCTGGGAACGCGTCTCAAGATCTCTACCAACGGCACAGAGGAGAGCTCCCAGACACACACACACCCCTTGCAAAAAAACCCCCCACCTTGTCTCTGAACCTGTCTCCTCCCAGGTTCCTTCTCTGGAGAAGTTTTTCTAAACCAAACAGACCAGCAGGTGGGGAGCCTGAGAGCTGCCCAAAGGTCCCCTGGCTTCAGGGACACTCGGCCCTGAGGGGCACAAGGCTCTAGAAATGCCCTTCACTGTCTCCTGGTGTTTTTCTCTCTGGACCCTTCTGAAGTAAGAGACCAAGCTGCGACCCCCACTGCCGAAGGGACTTGTGCTGTGCCCAATGCAGGCTGGGGACAGGACAGTGGCAACTGCTCTGGAGCGGCCCACTCTGGGGACCTGCTGGGGGACCAGCGAGGGCATCGGTCAGGGGGGAATGGAGCTGGCCACATGCCTCCAGTTGGGCCCTGTCAGCCCTCCCCTTGGCTTCAAGGATGGAGATGGCCTGTCCTCCCCCACTGCCCTCAGGGTGGGTCTGTGTGTGGCGTGGAGCCCCCGTGGCCGTGGCCGCGCTGGGTCCTCCTGGCTGTAGGGCCTGTGGGGCTGGGGCCTTTCAGCCTGCCTGGGAGTTCCCCTGCAGGGAGGGAGCAAACCCTGGGCACCAGGAAGCCGCTTCCTCCTTGGTGGCAGGAATTTTGAAGTCAAAGAGAAATGATGCTTCGGTGGCTTCTCGGTTTCTTGTGGGTCCATTTGGCGGGCCTTCCCCTTGGGGATCGCTGAAGGGGGCAGAAGAGGCCACAGTTGGACGTGTGTCTGCAACACTCTGGTCTCGAGCTCGCTCCTTCTCTCTCCCGCCCCTCCTCATTCCCACCCTCTTTCCTCATTCCCGAGACCTTGTCAGCTGTGTCCACCGAGGCCCCTTCTCTCCACATGTGTATATACATGTCCATGTACCTATATCCTGTGCTTTCCTTTTTCTTTCCTTTTTTTAAGAAACAAAACTATCGAAATAATACCCCACAGATGAGCGAAAATGTATTATTGTAAAGTTTATTTTTTTTAATAATGTTGTCTATAAAGGAAAAAAAGGAAATCGACCCGGGAGCCCCGCTCCAGTTGGGCTCGCGGGCCGTGGCCGGGACTCCTGATGCGCATCACGCTTAACCAAGGCTCCAATAAAATACTAGGAAGCAAAGTTGCCTCGCGCCTCACTGCTCTGTGCCTTCCCCCCCCCCCCCTGCGTTCCTGGCCCCTGCCACCTGCTGGGTGTTCCTGGTGGGGCTGGGAAGTTCATGTGTATGTGCATGTGTGTGTCCACCTGGACCCCAACAGGTCTCGCCCGTGTGTCCCAGGGTCGGTGGATGATGATCCACGCATGTGATTTTACACACTTGCAGGTTTGAGGGTCTCAGCTAGGCTATTGCGGGGTCTTGTTCTCTCCTACCTCGCCTTCCAGGTGAGTAGAGTGCTTGTTGCTCCCCGACAGTGAAAGGAGAGGTGGCCGTTGGGAGGGAGTGGTGGCTTGTTGTCACCTTGGGTATGGTTTTGTTTCTGGGCAGCTGGAGCGGCCCTGTTGGCCTTGTGTAGAGTGGAGGGCATCTCTCCCTGGGACCCCTGGGCTGATCCAGGTGTGTCATGGAGAAGGCAGGGACCTGGCCTCCTGGTTTCCATCAGAGAAGGAAGACCACTATCAGTGTTTGAGTCCAAGAGAACAATCCATCCAGCCTTCTATTTGCCACCCAGTCTTCCCGGACCCTGGGCCTGCCGTGTTCTTCCGGAGATTCTCCCTGGGGAGCAGCAGGGTGTACTTGTGTGCACAAATGTCTGTGTGTGCCTGCACAAGGTGGCAGGAGGGAGAGGGGAAGGCTGGCCTGTGCCTTCAGGACTTCCCGTGATCCCGTCCTGTCGCTCCTGGCGCTAGGATGTCATTTTCCAGCCTCCTGACCCTGGGTTCCATCAAACGGCTTTGGTTTCTGGTTGCACATGTGTCAGAAACATCTGCTCACGGTGGTCACGCTGCGGCAGATTGTGTTCCAGCCTCTGCCTGGAGGGAGGACAGTGAGCAGCCATCTCTCTTCCCAGCCTCTGCTGGCCTTCCTGCAGGACAGGATGACTGATGTCCACCTGGAATTTGTGTTCCTTGCAAATAGGAGAGACTGGCTAGTTCAAACAGGGACTTATTGGGAGGTTTGGGAGGAGGTGGTTCACAGAGGGAAGGACCAGGGGACAGCTGAAGGGTTAGAAGGCAGGATCTACAGGGTCAGGGACCAGTGGCCAGCAACTGATGTCCTACTGGCTGGATGGGGCTTTATGCCTTCCCCCCATATTCTTGGGTGGGGGAGAGGGGGGATGTGTCATGACTGTCGTTCCTAACAGGAAGTAAGCCCTTGGGCTAGGTAAGGGGGCAGGTATCCCACAAGGAAATTGAGGCACCATCATGACGGAGGAATGGACACTGGGCAGCTTTACTCTGGCAGACAATATTTCCTCATCCATGCAGCCCATAGCTGACAGTTTATTATTAAGCAATCATTCCTTTGCTTGAGAAGATTGCCAATTTTTGTGTTCCTCTAAAAATATGTAAATAAATCTGGGAAGAGTCTAATGTCCCTATCTTAATGTTAATTGATTTCATGATGAAAATTACCCTTAGTGACATTAGGACATTTGGGCCTAGAAATTGAGACTGGGGTTGGGGAACAGACAAGGGCAGAGAAACAGGAGTGGGACCAGGAGCAAATTGGCAGGGACCACCAGGGATAGATTTTAATTGGTAGTTATTTTGGGCAGAACACAGCCATGTGCAGTGCAGACCCTGTGCACTGAGCTCAGTCAGCAAGGGGTGTAGGCTCGCTTCCTTCGCTGCCACGGCTCATCTGGGGTGTTCATCTGTCTGCAAGGCCATCTTAGCCTGTGCTCTGGCCCCAGAACATTGCCAAGTCAGAAGCCACAAAGGAGTGTTCCTCTCTTTGTCGGGGAAACGTCCAGCATGGGCAGTTATGTCCAGGCAGGAGCATAGACAGCTTCCTGCTGGCCCTTGCCTCTATGGCCCTCCTCTTAATTCATGGGGGCCACTCAGGCCAGACCAGGAAGATCTGCAGTGGGAAGCCTGGGGAGGTCCATGGAGGACTTCAGAGTTCTGAACACGAAGGGAGCAGGGTCTCTGTCCCCTCGGTGACCTGCCAGTGGTTCCCATAACCAAGCCTCTGCTGTGTATTGAGACTAGTCACAGGGGATCATCTTAGTTCCTGGCACCCTGGGCCCTTTCTAATATGCGTGTCCCAGACCTAGGCCAAGTCCTGCTCTTTCCGGCCATTCTGGGAAATAAGCCCTGCTTGGGATTCTCAGTCCCTCGCTGGGCTCTGCTATCTCCTCCACCAGACCTTCCTGAGGTCAACCAACTCTGGACCACCAGGATGGTCACCATTCCCAGACTTCTGTCACTGTTCACCTCTTCACTGAGGTACCTATCCGGCAGCCCTGCTTTATGCTCCTCAGGGCTGGGCCTGCTAACTGGCTCCCAGAGTCTGATGGGCCTCCTGCTACGGTTAACCTCATGCCAAAGGGTCTCGTGTGTTTGTGTGTGTGTGTGGTGTGTGTGTGTCCCTAGTTTCTGGCCACTGACCACCAGAATACCTGTGTGAAACATGGATTCCTTACTCACAGGAGAGCAAAGTTTCAGTGTTGCCTCCTGGTTGGAGAAACCCTTTGCCAGCATTTTCTGATCTGTGAGGTGAGTTTGAATCGGCCAAGGGGCTGGGACATCAGAGGATAAAACTGTCCACGTGTTCCATGTTAATACAAGGGAATGTAAATCAATAGATAGCATAGTTTCCATTCTTTTGAGTCTCCCTGGGAGTAGGTAATCGTCTTTTAAACGTGGATTAATTTTTTTTTCAAGGAAAAGACAAAATCATTTTGGAACCCAAACTGGTAAATAAGGTGTTAACGTTCTTTGTGGTGGGGCTAAATGTCAGGAAGACTGGCGTCTAGTCACATGTGGGAAATTTTGTCACCTTGTTTGACCTTGGTTGGGTCACCTAACAAGTTGCATTAGATGATGACTGAAGTGCTTTTTGACTAAACATGTACTGAAGAGAGGAGAGGGACACTGAGATGGACTGAAGTGGACGCTAAGCCTTCTGCCTGGTTTTCCTGTCCAGGGTGTCCACCACTCTTTGAGGTGTGCCTCCAATATTCTGGACAATGAGAGAGTGGCCAGCCTGATGGGTGTCGGCTTTGAATACTTCAGTTATGATGAGTTTTGTAAAACCCCAGTTGTGCTACTTCCTTATATACATTAAAGCAAATAAGTAAATAGAAAGGGCTTTGAAACCTTCACAAAGATCTGAACAGAATCAGGGTCCTGCAGAGCATCACCTGACCAGAATGTTCCTTGCCACATCCCACAATTTTGTGTGAAATGGGTTTTTGTGCCAGGGCTTTGATAGTTTTACTGAAAAACAAAAACAAAAAACCCAAACAAAAATAAGGCCAGGTGCAGTGGCACACACCTGCAATCCCAATGGCTCAGGAGGCTGAGGCAGGAGGATTGCAAGTTCAAAGCCAACTTCAGCAATTTAATGAGGCTCTAAGCAACTCAGCAAGGCCCTGTCTCTAAATAAAATATAATAAGGGCTGGGGATATGGCTCAGTGGTTAAGCGCCCCTGGGTTCAATCCCCAGCACCCAAACAAACAAACCCAAAAACAATTGTTTTAAAATGTATATATCTTAAGGTTTAACTCGTGCTCACATCCCTCACCATATGCTACATGCTCTTCTGAAATTGTATGAATATTAATTTATTGGATCCCCACTGGGACTCAGAGGCTGGTGCCATGTCCCCTTCTAAGATGGGTAGACTGCTGCAAAGCGAGGCTCCTATCTTGCCTAAGATATTGCAGAGCATAAGTGGCAGTGCTCAGGCACACATCCAGGTGGGCTGGCTCCAGGGTTTGTGTTGTGATGTCCTCTCACCCTGAATGTGTGTGTGCCCTGCCTGTGCTAGTCTGTGGCTGCCCAGGTGGGTAGGGAGGGTCCTGTTAACCCGGGCTCGTTGGTGCTTCTGCACTCTCTCTCTTCAGCATCTTCCGTACTTTCAAGGTCAAGGGAACAGGCCATCAAGAGGCTGAGTGTACCTTTGGGAGCCTATAGGGCAATGGGGAAGAGTTCTGCAAAGGACTTTGTGAAATCAAGGATGGTGTGGACTTGGAAGAAGGGCCAAGGAAGGGGAGGGAAGAGGCTGCTCAGCGACAGCCCCCCCACCCCCAGCTCAAGACGTTTCTGGTGGGGCAGGGGAAGATGGAGAGGGGCATTCTGCTTCAGCACCTGCCCCCTGGTTTTGCTGGGATGGCTAATGACCTTGTTGGGAAATGGCTTTGGCTAGGAGTCAGCCTTTCCAGGAAGGAAGACTGACCAGATGGGGTCCTGCTGGCTTGATCTTGGGCTGCTCTTATCTTGGGGACCTCCTGACTAAAAGGAGAGAGAACAAATTTAGGAATGAGAGAGACCTGATTTGAATTCCATATCTGCCCCCGACCAACTGGAAGGTCATGTCCAGTGCAAACTTCCGTTTTCTCGTCTGTGAAATGACGCTGGTCCTACCTCTTAGGAGTGGTGTGGAAATCCCATGGGATATCCTACTAAGCGTCTGGTACACAGTGGGCTCCCAGCCACAACACTCCCTCACCCAGTGCGCCCACTAGCCTGGGCCTCCATGACTCCTTAGCACCTGATCTGCAGAACAGGATCCTTCTCTTGGATTCATCCTTGAAGCTTCTCCCTTCCTCCCCCTTTCTGTGTCCTAAGAAGCTTTTGTGGATTTGGGGCAGACAAGAGAGTGCGGCTGTCATCAGCCCCCTGGGCTGCTCTCTTGGAAGCATCGCCAAGTGGAGCTGAGAGGGCAGGAAGAGTGGGGAGACAAAAAAGGAAATGTCCTTGTGTTATTTGTAAATCAGAGTTGATTTGATCTGAGAGTCACCAGGGACCGTGGCTACAGAACATCCAAATGTCACGCTCTCTGGAGTACCTTTGATTGGCTGTCCCCTCTCCATGCGTGAAGGCAGAGGATGTGCCACTGGAGTAACTGCACCAGCTCAAAACTGAGGACAGGAATCATCAATTAGTCACAGGAGCTGAACTGAGGGGAATGTCAGCACCTCTGGGAGGGCGACTGGTGTGCCGTTGGCCCTTG